CTCTCTATTTAACAGAAGAGGAGAGAGAAGACAACATATGGGACAGAGGTTGGTCAGTGGGTAGATGTGGTGGTGGGAGTTTTTGGGAGTTCCTTTTTACTCAGCGACTTAGAAGCAAGGTCATTGACTGAGAGCAAGGATGAGGGAGACGGTGTTGGAGGTGTGAGAAGATAGAAATGATAGAACTGACATCTAAGAGAGCAAGAGCATGAAAGGACTAGGGAAATGTCATGAGCATCAAGGTAGCAGCAAGGGCCCACTTGAGGTTTATGGTCATTTATTTAAAGTGTGACCACTCAGCTTGTTTCCTCCTGTTGAGTAGACAAAGCATTGGTATATTAATTAGTCAGGGTAGGATAACTGCTGTATAAACTCCAAATGTCAGTGCCTTAACACAACCAAAGTTGATTTCTCACTAAGAAATTTACATGGATTATCTCAATTAATTCTCACAAACAGTTCAATAAAGTGGATACTATTATTATGACCCTTTTCCGATGAGGAAACTAAAGAATTGGTTGAAGCCTCAGCTCTAATTTTTGTTTTAGGTATTAGTTTTATTTGGAGGTATTTAAAAATAATATTTGACTCATAAAATTAATTCAGTAAACGTAATTTGATCACTGCATTCATTCATTAACAAACTATTATTAGCATCATCTATGTTAGGCTATATATTTCAAAACAGTTTATGGTATTAGGAATCTTGTCTTTTAACAATTGGAGCAGCATTTCTTCAATTAATTATCAGGGCCAGGTGACTTATTTTCTAGGTAATTCTTATTTCTTCTTTTGGTTTGGTTTATTCATATTCTCTCTTTTTACATCTCATTTAGTATTTTAATTTTTCTAAGCATTTATCTATCTAATTTATTTTTTCAAATTTACTAATATGGAAGTGATAACTTTCCTCAAATAGTCTTAATTCAATTCCACATTATTGCTTTTATTTTGTTTATTCTTCCTGAATTTAAAAATAATTTTGATTAATATTTTTAAAAAACAATTCTTTATTTATGTAGAATTTTCAACACCCTTTTAATACACTGTTTGTAGTTTTGGTGCTTTAAAACTAATTTCCACACAGATTAACTTAAATATCTTTACTTCATTTAAACGAAAGGAGCTCCTCCTACTGTTTTCCTGGGATTAATGCTAATTGTTAGGTCCCATTTTCACGTACAAAGAATTAGAATTCCATTTATGTAGTCAAAACCAGAATGTAAGTCATGTCTCTCAACATTCAAAAGTTTCTTACATGCAATAAAAATTGCAAGGGATCACTAGGAGATCATTGACTTAGGTAATAAATATCAAGGGTCAATTTGGCCATGCTTCCTTGCTTGGGCAAGGAGTTGCCCTCCTCGGACCAAAGGAGAGAGCACAGCATGGTGAAATAAAATATGGGCTTTGGTTGGGTCACTTATTAGCTATGTGCACTTGAACAAGTAACCAGTTACCCAATATTTACGGCACCCATGGATAATCAGGCACTATATAAGGAGTTAGGGATATATGAATAAGAAATACTGTGCCACCCCCCCCCCCCCCCCCCGGTCCTCCCTTCTATATCCTGGACAAGCAGAGACATGAATTATAATCTTGGTTCTTTTATTGCCTTTTGGGTAGCAGGTGTAAGTCACCAAAGTATTTGAGCCTCAGGCTCTGGCATCTGGTGGGTAGAGCTAGCTAATCCATTTCCTAATCTGTGAAATGGAAGTGATAATACCTACCTCACAGGGCTTTTTTTTAAGAATTAAATGATAAAAATGTTTATGTAAAATACCTAGTACATAGTAGGTGCACAGTAACTGTGAGTTTCTGTTCTTTCTCCCTTTAGATCTAGTCTCAGAAAAAGAAAAAAAAAAGCCTCACGTTTAGGCAGGAGCAATAGTGTCCTTTTAGCAATTATAGTACCCCCAAATAATTGAACACTACATACTCTCAGGTCTGGAAACATTAGAGCAGGATTTTCTCAACTCCTGCACCACTGACACTTTGGACCGAATAATGCTCTGTTGTGGGAGGCTGTCCTGTGCATCGAAGGATGTTTAGCAACTGGTCTCTACCCACTAGATGCCAGTAACAGCCCCCCAGGTGTGAAAATCAAAAATATCTCCAGACATTGCCAAATATTCCCTCAGAGGGAAAGTCACCCCAGGTTGAGAACCTCTGCATTACTGGATCATAAACTCACATTTAGTGCGTCTTGAGGAGCATTTCAAAGTTAAATGGAATAAAATTGAAAATAGAAATCTTAGAAAGCATATAGGTAGTCAAGTATTGCTTAGCGATATAAATTTCTTACTGTGAGTTTCAGTCAAAAGTTTGAAAGCCACTGTTCTATACGTAACAAAAACTTTCATATAAACTATCTGATTTAATCAGAAAACTCTATAAAGTAGGCAGGACAGATGTTATCCTTTGTTTTACAAACCAGAAAATTGAGGCTCAGATCAGCTGAATAACTTGCCCTCCGGCTAAAGGAAGGATTTGAAGGATAACCCAAGTCTCTAAACTTTTAGTGACAAGGTAGAAAGGAGATTGTCACCTGAGGGCAAAGATCTCCTGTACAGTCCAGAAGGATAGAGGTATCAGAGTCAGAGGACTTTGGTGTTGGATCCAATCATTAAAATTTAATATCAAAACATTAGATGGAAATTGGGAGAACATTTTATCAAGATTTTATTTTTCCACACTGGCTGGCTAACCCCCTGTATACCCATAGGGTCGTGGAATGAACACCCATAATTGTGGAATGAATGAATGAATGAATGAACATGGATCACACAATTCCTATTAATCTTCAATCAGCTGGGCCTTCTGCTCACCTCCAATCAGGCATGCTGCTCTCTTTGTCTGGAATCTCTCCTCTTTCCCCACTGACTTCTAGAATCAGCTCTCCAACAGTCCCCCAGGAGACACTTTCCACAAGTCCCCAGACAGGTTTATTTCCTCCTCTGTGCTCCTTCTACAGGCCTTACCTAATTGTACTGTTCCACAACTGTTCCCTGACACCCCCTGTGCCTTTTTGACCCTTTCTACCCCTTCTCCCACCCCCCAATTCCAGAGGTAGCAACTACGCTCTATTTCAAAGAGCACAAAACAGCACCCACCACGGTGCTCGGCAATGCAGCTGCTGTTTAATACTTGTGGATTGACTGAGCGGAAGGAAAGAAGGAAGACAAACAACGCAATTATCTGACACTATAGAAGCAAAAGAACATGACTGCTCCCCCTCGAGCTGAGGGGAAAACAAAAACTATCCATTTCATTATTGAGTTCAAGTCTTCTTTCTGAAGGAGAGGACAGCAGTGGAAGGCCCGAGCTCTCCCTGGTGCCGGCCACCACTCTGTGGAGGTGTGTATGCACTGCAGGGTGCCCGCACTGCTGCCCTAGCCAAACTCCAAGAACAGACTGCAGTCCCCCACCACTCTGCCGTCTGGAGTTGAGCTGTCACTGCCTAAGCCTCAGGCCCTAAGCCGTCTAGCTCTGCATCCCCACATTTCAGGATGAGTCACTTAGACCCCCAGTTAAATCAATGGCTTACCAGGACCCACCCTAGACGATTCTGATTCAGCGGGTTGGAGATGAGGCACCCAATAATTTGTTTTTTAACTAGTATCCCAAGTGATTCTTACTATCAAGCAAGCCTGGGAAACTAATCATCATTGCTTCACTCACACTATAGAATTAGGGCAGTTATTTATTGTTCAGTGACTTTACCTCTAAGATAATTTTGGAGTATGTTACTGGTTAAGAGACAAAATGCTCCTGAGGTCCCTGAAGGTGTGGCTTATTAATATGTAGAGTATCTTACACTGCAGCTTTTACCTTCCTTGTCAGCAGGGGGGTTCAAGAGAGATCGCCTTTTAATGCGAGGACCCTGGGGAAACCCCAAACTTCAGAACCGTTCTGGCCACGTGAGCCAAACTAGGCAGGAACCTTAGGCTGGGACGACGATCTGAGTATTATGGGATCCAGCTCACGCCTTTCGTAGATGAGGTCAGAGCTGAGGTGACCAGCACAATCGTCTTCCTCACCAGACTTTGGACGGAAAAAAATAGAATTGGGCAGGGCTTTCCTTTCACGAGATGCATTGTTTGAAGCTGTTCTCGGCAAGGAGAGCTGAGAAAACACAGACCCGACTTTTTATTTCTACTTCCAGAAGCCGCCGGTCTGCATCTTTAGTGGTGGTGGTGGGGGGCATATTTGGTAAGCTTACTGCTGCTCGCCCGTCTCCCTTCCTAGGCGGATCCAGTCAGGCTCTCCTTATTAATCGGGGTCAAAGGGGCTCTGCTGGGAAAAACAGCAGCAAACGTTTCTGCAGAGGGAGGAACTCTTCAGCCACTCACGACCTTAGGAAATCCATCCGGGCCGAAAAAATAGTGCCCGCTTGGCTGAGGGCCCTGGGGACTTCACAATGTTTGCTTCTGTGGGGAAAGGGTGGGACTCTTCATAAAAGAACACAACACAGAGAGATCAAACCACTTTCCCAACGGCCTCCTCTCGGGTACGCGAACCTCTCTGGGTCCCACATGCGGAAACCCACACCCTGAGGCGAGGCCCCCGCGCAGGCGCACAACCACCCGGCAGCTAGGGCGGCGGCAGGGCCGGACGCTCGGGGGCGGGGCGAGGGCCAGTCACGTGGGCCGCGCAGCCCTCTCCACGATTTCCCTACAAGGACTTGGGCTAACGAGCCCCGCCCCTGGCCGTGCCCTGGAATGTGCGGAGAGGCAAACCCACAGGACAGACTCACCCATTTCCCACCAGGAAAGGGGGGAAGAAAAGCTACGTTGTAAGACGAGGTATAAAAAAGACGAAAACTCAGTCGTTGGACCCAACGAACCATTACATACTCGTCTATGTTTTGAGTCGCCCGCTTTAGACTTCCTTCCCGTGCACTAGGTCAGCATTGCGCCCTTTAAGCACACTGGCCCCTCCCCCCCGTCGCCTTTCCATTAAGTCAGGCCCACTCTTTGGCCGAGAACTCTGACTAGGCTTCCTTCCGGTTTGCTCAGCCAAGGCCGGAAGTGTCGGGTTTTAGCGGCTTTGGGAGTAGAAGGCTGGTAGTAGCGGCTGCGAAGGCAGCGAGGGGTTACTCAAGTGCTCGGATTCTCGCGGCTGTGCAGGGTGAGTGGTCCTCGCGGTCGGGCCTGTGAGGCCCATCCCGGGGGCCCATTTCCCCGGGGCGGCAGGGAGGGCAGCGGCGGGCCCCCGGCGCGGGGAGCGCACCTGGGCGGGTGTACCAGCCGGTTCCCCGGTTTCGAGCCCGAGGGCTAGTTCCGGGATCGAAGGCCAGGGCCAGAAGTGGCCCAGACGTGGACTTCGCTGCTCTGCCCAAACTTGAATCTCGGGAAGTGTGGCTTAGCTCGCTGGCGCCGCGAGCTTGGGCGACAGCCGGGCCCGCGAAACCCGAGCCCCGCGGCGTTGACTCCGAGACTAAGTTTAGTTTCTAACGTAAACTTGCCCGATTCAAGAGAGTTTGTGCAAAAACCGTAGCTCAGTGTCCCCGCTGTTGCAGCTGTTGTTGCAGCTGTGTGGCTACGTTTACTAGGAATAACCAACTCAAATTAGCAACTTCCTCAGCTCAGTATCCGCTTCTGTAATTAGAACTTTTTTTTTTAAAGTGATATTTGGACAAAGAGGGGTTTGGGGTTTAGTTTCCGGCTTGAGAAAAATGCCAAAATACACCACCACCATGTTTCTTTTGGGTGGAAACTTTGGCTTAAGTCGGTTTACCAAAGTGTTTCCCTTTAAAGTAGTTGAGTATGTGTGTGAAAGCATATGTCAGTTCTTTACAGAACTTTGCAACAGAAATATGCATTCAGCTGAGATTTTTACTTGGCCAAAAGTTTTATATCTAAAAGTGAAGAAAATGAATATTTCTTAAAATTATTTGTTTCATGTTCCGAAAGGCTTTTGGTAAAACTTATCCAGAAAAGCATTTTATTTTCAAAAGTGGAGCTTTACTGGCAAGTGAACCCTGACATCTAATTGCCGTTGTCGAATGCTAAGAACGTTTTGGGTGTGGCCATCGCAGAGAATTAATCCTGCCTTCAACCGGAAGTTTGCACAGGAATTGAAAACTTGGTTTAGTTGGAACGGAAGTACCAACCTGAAAATGTACTTTTAAAAAACTGTGGTTGGCACCAAAAAAATTGCATTTACTTAGCTTGAGAAAAAGTGCATTGATTAAATGCAGTAGATTTGGTCTGGATTTGAAAAGCAGATCCTACGTGCTATCACACTAGGAAGTGTTTTCTAAGATGGGAGTTTTTCCTTAAAGAATGTATCATATTTCCCAGAATACTATTTAAGTGTTGGTTCTGTAGAAAAAGTTTCTATATTATTTTACATTTATTACCACTTTATAAATGCTAGACTCTAGGATTCTAACTAGAGTAATGTAATATTAGTATGGATTAATCCCATTTTATAAATGAAACCATAGTATCTGGAGATTCTGAAAAATCTTCTGGTTGCCCTTGGTGTGTGGGGAAAGCCTCTTTGAGGTTCTTTATTTTCCATTTCTCCCTCCACATAATCTAGTCTAACATCTTCCTTAGATGGTTTGCATCCCTCCTTTTGTCATAATCCTGAATGATTCTCTTCCTATTTGATCAAGCTAAAAAAAATAAAACCACAAATTCATTGCCATCAACACTTCCCTCTGCTGATTTGAAACAAGATTATACTGCTTTAGATCTGTAAACTGAATCTCCTTGACCACCACTGACTGTGTTTCATTCACTTTCTCATGCATCTGAAATCCATACATATTTCATAGAAGCCTGTTCTGTAAGTTTCCCTGCTTTCAAGTTTCATACAATACATATCCCTTCACACCGAAAATCTTTCATTAAATGCTTCAAAAATAGCCTCTAGACTCTTAGAATGAGTGAGGATCCTCATAACTTGGAAATCTCAGGTGCCTACAAGGCAGTCTTCCCATCCTAAATAAAGAATACTGATGCTGATGTATGAAGTATTTTCAATTTTATTTTACCCTAGTTTTCCAAATTTATATGAGAGTTGTGCATTTGCTGAAGGCTTGTTACATGAAGAGAGTTACAGTCTCACCTGTTTGGGGAAAGAAAAAACGGACAGCAAACTAGAATCATAGCAAGGAGGACAATGACAGTATCATAAGTGATCTGCTCTTTGGGATCATAGCACTGTTCCTGATTTGCTTTCCTCTCCATGAGTGTTTATTCCACCTATACTTTTTGTTTGATAGGAAAAAATAAACCACGCTTTCCTTATTTTGGAACAACTGACTGTGAAGCTGAACTCTCTGTTGCTGAAAGGCTCCAGGTTTCTGGTGGGATATAAACTGGTGGATCAGAATCTAACCTCCTTGAAAAAGTAAAGTCCCAAGTAATAAACTTGCTTGACATTACACTACCAGTTTTTGGTGGAATTAACTACCTTAATTTATTTGAATTAAGACTAACATTTGAATTTCTTAATTCTAAAGACGTCTTGTAGCTTCTAAATGGTACAGGGTTTTTCAAGGTCTTTTGTTCCCCCCTCACTGAATCTTTTAGAAACAAAGGTCTTTTCTGAACTCAAAGTATTTGTGAATCACGTACCACCTTTGAGTTATTTTTCATTCTTGTCACACATTGTTTTAACTTGAGAGTCATACTTGTGGAATGAAAGCTATGTGACTTGTTCATAAATTGAGCCAATCATCTCATCTCTTTATAGGTGCCTCCCCAACTATATTTTAAGCTCCTTGAAGATGGGACACTTGCCTTACATTTCTTAGATAGTACTCAACACTAGTAACATTTGATGTACATTAGTGTAATTAACTATAATTAAAGGTTGATGATAAGTATCAAATGAGCTAAAGAAAAGTTTTGTGTGAGACCATTGTCAGTGCTGATCAAAAAAAAAACCTTTATAACTTGTAAAAACTATTTTATAATGCATTTACAGATTTAAAGAATGATTAAAAGAAAGACTTATAGGAAATACATCAAAATTTGAATATATATGTATATTCCTTTATAACCTAAACTAAGCGTTTTTAAAGGTACCTAGAGGACTCCCGCCAAATTTAGTATTATGAGGTTTTGTAGATTAAAAAATCAGTTGTGTCAACCATTTGACCTATAATTCTCATCAGTTTTTTTGTCTTTAAAATAACTGACATTCTTGCATCATTAGGGGAAGACAGTGTTGTCAAACAAAGCAGACTATTTTTAAAGAGATGCTTTGGTTTGCAAAGACATGGCATGCCTAAAATATTAAAGAGATATGGACCGGTGAATATGTGCCACTCATCAGGTCTCACCCAAATCCTTGAGTACATTTAAGAGACGGAGGAATAATATACTCCATAACTCTTTGTAGTTTTGAAAACTACATTTAGAATAGAAGGCTCTATGTAGTTTAGATAATAATGGGATTTACTGCCCCCATAAGGTGTTACAGAATGAAAATAGGCATTCATGAATGGTTTAGAGAAGTTATGAAAGGGAGCCTCCTAAAGGTGATTAAAGGAAACTTGGAAATTAGGGAGAAGTATATATCATAACTTCTATGTCCTGTAGGGTATGTCTTAACAAACAACACATTCCAGTGTATCGCCAAAGAGTGCTATATTGGATGGACTGGAATTTGTGACTCTCTGTGGAATTTCCTGCTAAAATCAGAACAGATTTAGCTAAAAAAAATCTGAGGCGGTGCTTTTCTAATTATTTCCATAATTGAATTTAGTCTGGGTGATGTGGTATAATCAAGGAAAGAATGTAAGGAATAACTTTTTAAACTCGCATGGAGCATTGTATTCTAAGGTCACTTTGCAGCGCTGAGATCTAGGTAGTACTTCATTCTTTGCAGTCCACTGACTTATTTTTAGAGCAAGGGCATAGTGTTTTGCTGCATCATAGCTAAATGTTGTTTTCAAAACGTAAGCTTTAAAATTGTTGTCCTGGTCAGAATGAAATCAGTAGTGCCTATTTTAGACCTGCTTAGAAGAATATAACTTAATACAGTGTCTTAGTCTTGCTGGTTAGAGGTTTTGCAAACTACCATCACCACCTCAGCTCTGAAGGATGGTACGGTAAAATTTTATTATCTGATAACTATGGGATTTTTAACTTAAATTTCTACAGTCTGTTAAAGATTGAGTGTTGAAAGGAAAATTGCCTTTTTGTTTTAGGTAATGTTAGACATTCTTTGTATTTTTATCTTAAATTTTACAGGGATAAATTTAGTTTATTAGAGAGCAAGGTAGCTTCCATACCTCCTAAAACATTTTCTAAAACTTTTTTTTAACTAAATTGCTTTAAAAACTGTTGTGCTCTGATTTTTGTTTACTTAGTCACTTAAAGTGATTTAGCTTGGCTCTGTGCAAGGAATTGATTTGGATACAGTGGAAATACCTGTAAAACTTAATTATAGGTGAATTAACTTCAGGATTTTCTATACTTTTCAGTTAGCCTTTAAACGAATATCTTTCTTGAACTACTTTGATTCCAGAAGTGAAAGTACAATAAGAAATGTTAGTTGCAAATGGAAGAATGATATTTGGCAATAAAAATTAGAAGATGAAGACCTATTGCATCAGTTAGTCCTCCTCCTTACTTTCTGTCCACCTTAGAATGAGACAGCTAGTTTAGACTAGGCTGCAGAAGGACAGACCTGTTGAAGATGAATTAGTATTCCTCAGTACTCCCATAGCACTGAAGCGTAGAACTGGCTCTGTTTCCCCAGGGTACCTACGTTTTTTTGTTTCTTGTTTTCTATGTTGTTTATTAAACCAGTAGATTTGGTTATTGGTCCTTATTAGGCTATACAGCAGTACTGGGGACATGCAATCTTGTTGATATGCTCTGAGCTTTGAATTAATGTTGGTTGTAATTTGGAATTTGCAGTTAGTGATGGGCTGTTTATTAAACACCACAACTAGTAAGGATGAGTAAATTCAAAGCATGAGTCTGTTTTTTCTCTTTGTAATTTGGTTCTATGAGTAATAGTATTGATTAGTTGAGGGAGATTTTTGCTGAGTGATACTATCCTGCTGAATAGTTTTTAAACACATCTCTTAGTAATTCAAACATGTCAGAGAGTTGATACAGTTTACTTTTTGTTAATCTTTGTTTTTCTTGTATTTCCCTTCCTAATTAGGATTTAACCGCCACCATGTCGAGCAAAAGGGCAAAGACCAAGACCACCAAGAAGCGCCCCCAGCGCGCAACATCCAACGTGTTTGCCATGTTTGACCAGTCACAGATTCAGGAGTTCAAGGAGGCCTTCAACATGATTGATCAGAACAGAGATGGCTTCATCGACAAGGAAGATTTGCATGATATGCTTGCCTCCTTGGGTAATGATCAGTTTTAATATTAATATATAAGATAGAATTTCTATAGTGCCTTTTATATTTGTTTCTTCAGTCTTAAAGCTCTGTGAAGCCAATCTAATGATATTATAGTTTACTAAGATTCTAAGTCTGGAGCAGTGTTTCCCAAAGTGTGGTGCTTGGATCACCTGCAGATTTCTGGCCAGATCTCAGGATTGGGCTGGGGGCCAGCCATGTGTATGTTGCAAACACTGATTTTGATTATGAGAGCAGGATTATTCTTCCTGACATCCCGATGGAATAGCATACCATCTCCAGACTCTTACTACAGGCCCTATTCATTGAGAAGACGTTTTTCCAAATTGTTTTGGAATACAAAACATGAATACAAACAGCAAACTGTATATATGAGAATCTTTCTTGTCAAAATGTTTACTATGATGAATGGTTGATGCATTCTGTGGTGTAATTAAAACTATGATCCTCTTTTTTATTTAGGGAAAAATCCAACTGATGAGTATCTGGATGCCATGATGAATGAGGCTCCAGGTCCCATAAATTTTACCATGTTTCTCACAATGTTTGGTGAAAAGTTAAATGGCACAGATCCAGAAGATGTCATCAGAAATGCTTTTGCTTGCTTTGATGAAGAAGCAACTGGTAAGTCTGAGCTAACCTTTAATTAGCAAGTGATTTAATTTTTAGTTATACCATACCAGGTTTTTTTTTGGACAGGCTCCTATAGCATGTTAATCACTCACTTCACTGTCTCTGCCCTTAAGTATTTAATTTACAATTTAATAGGTGTATTTGAAAGTTCTTTAGGAAACGTATGTTATTCCTTTACTAGAATAATTCTGCAAGGGTTAGACAAGGAGTGTGTTGAATGAATAACTTTTACCGGAGCAATCTGATAAAACATAAATTGCTATAGGCTGTGATACCAGTACAGTGCTGTGTTTATCAGGTACCTCTCAGCTCTGAGGTTGTTTAAATCTAGTATCTAACTTTTCACTCTGGAATCAGACTCCCTGGTTTCATATTCCTATTCTGTGTACTAGCTGTGTGATTTCAGGCAAGTTACTTACCTTCTCTAAGCCTCTGTTTTCTTATTTGTAAAATGGGCATAATATTACCTATCTCATAGGGTTGTTGTAAGGATTAAAGGAGGAAATGAAGTAATTTATATAAAGTGCTTAACATACTGCCTGGCATAGAGTTAACTCGCAAAAAATACCCCAAAAGTTAGCTACATAAATGCTTGATCCTTTGGCAGAAGTGCGTATAATAAGAGAAAACATAAGGGGATAACTCACATGGTGAGTTTTTTGAGAAGGAAGGCATACTTTTGGTTACATGTTACTTGGACTAAATAGTCCAAGTGTAGTCTGGTGTTGAAAGCATAGTCTCCCCATCTCCCCACTCTGGCTTTGAAGGCTCCCCACAGTGTGGCCTCTTCTGGCCTCCTCAGGGACTCTTGTATCATTTTCCTAACCTCCTTTCAAGCTCCTCTATGCACTGTTGTCCCAACTTACCTCCACCATTTCAGCCTCTGTGCCTTCACCATCATACCACCTCTCCTCCCTCCTCTTAAAACTCTTTAACAGTTATTTCTGGAAGGAGTGGGATCGGGGAGGAGCAGGCAAAGGAGACTTTTTTTCTCCTAAAGACACTTCTGTATTGATTGAATTTTTTACTGTGAACAGGTATTACTTTTTTAACAGAAAGGAATAAAACCATAAAAGAGTAAAATGTCTTTACCATTCTTCAAACTCACCTCAATGGTCATGTTTTTCATAGAGTCTTACCTGTGTTTTCCTAGAGCCTTACCTGTGTTTTCCTACTGTTTTCTCCTGGCCCCCAGGAAAACTTAAAGCCTCTCCCTTCTTTCCACCTCCAGAGTATTTTATTTATCTCTCTCCTGGCACATACTCTATCTGACCTTCTATTTTAGTTGTGTATTTATTCCCAGTCATCACAGTCTCTCCTCACTCCCAGGGTCATGGCTATGTGTCTTCAACAGCATTATATTCCCATCTTTGTAACCCCTTCTAGCATCTTCCACAGTCCCTTGCACATAGCCAATGATTAGTTTATGTGATAGTTGAATGGCTTGGCTGGAGATGAGGATTTATTTCTACAAGCTAAAAGTCTAAGATTTGAGGACCTTTTTTTTTTAAATCTAGGATTGAATTAGCAAAAAAAACCCCCCATACATCTAGAGTTGCTTTTGTGAACTCACCTTATATTTTAAACTCATTTTATAGGAAATATATTATCAGTGTTTTAGCTTAGTTTCACATACACAGAAGTTGTCAGATTTTTCTTTTTTTCCTTTATGAATTTCAAAATCTCTGTGTTTGATCATTTATCACCTTTGGTTTAGTATATTAGAGGTTCTCAATCATGATTGCACATGCGAATTACTTGGAGAGCCTTTTAAAAATATCAGTACCAGCTAATAAATCAAGGGTGGCATCTGGGCTGTTTGGTTTTGCTTTAAGATCCCTGGGTGATTCCAGTGTGCGGTCATGTTTTATGAGAACCCTGGTATCACACATCCAGAGTAGAAGGCACATCCCCAGTGCCTAGCCCAGCGTCTGCGACATAGTTAATGCTCAAATATTTACTCAGTGTTTTTGCACACCCTGGGCCTGGCCTTATTTGTTATTAAATCAAAATTAGATTTGTAAAAAAAAAAAAAATTAAAAATCTCATTTTACATATTAAAAAAACAAAGTTAGAGGTAAAGTGAAATGCCTGAAATAACATGGCTTGTTAAAGCTAGACCTCAAGATTCCAGTATTCTTTCCACTGAAGCACTTTATTGATGTTTATGATGTGGTATTGATTTTAGTGTTATTTGCTTGTAGAATAAGTGAGCACTCATGCTACTTTAAGGAATCATATGAGGCTTAGATTCCTTACTTATACTTTATTGTTTTGTTTAGGCTGGGTTTAGCCCTTCTTATCAAGAAATCAGGTGGTGGATGTGGAGGGAGCTGATAGAGCAGAGGAGGTTAATGCCACTAAGCAGCTGGGCATTTTCTAGGCAACTGTGCTGAGGCTGGCTTAAGCATGTGGAGATCCCATATTTCATATGTTTGCATGTTTATAGTTCTTAACATATAGAGCATGCTTAGCCAAGTGTAGATATTCCTTGTAATTAATCCTCAGAGTAGTATGTATTTCTGATCCTCAGTTCTTTATTCTTTAGGCACCATTCAGGAAGATTACCTGAGAGAGCTGCTGACAACAATGGGAGATCGGTTTACAGATGAGGAAGTGGATGAGCTGTACAGAGAAGCACCTATTGACAAGAAGGGAAATTTCAATTACATTGAGTTCACGCGCATCCTTAAACATGGAGCAAAAGACAAAGATGACTGAAAAGAACTTCAGATTCCAGCCAAACGTTACTTGTTGCCACTTTGGGTATTTCTGAGACTTTCTCTTATAGCCTGTTGCATGCCCTTAGCTTTACAGCTTTTGCCTTTCTTGTTGTATTTATTCTCAGCCATTTTGGGCACATGCATCTCTATAATCAGACTGGAAATGGGACTTTTTGTCATTTTCAGAATAGAAAATAGGGTAATTTAACTTACCAGCCCCCCCTAAAATAACTGCAGTCTGCACAGAGTCAATATATTTTTTCAGAGAAAGTTATTCACTCAGTTTTTTCTGAACCATAATTAAACTTTATGATAAAAACTTACTTGTTCAAAACTTCTTATTTTCCAGAATTGGCTTAGTTTTAGTTGTATCTTCCAAAGAAAGGTAGATGAGGCAAATCCTAGAAAATAATAGGTGGTTAGCCCTCTCCCTTACTCCTTCCAGTTTTCCTGACAATCCTGTCTCCTCTAGCATTCATTCCTCCCCCTTCCCAAAGAAATACAATTTTAATTGCCTTAATCGGGTTTCCTGCACTTTGTCTTCCAATTTTAAAAAGAATTTTAAAAATGTAGGATTTGCATATATATATAATAGCTTTAAATCCTTCAGTTTAACATACCTGTCAGCATCCCTCCTTATTTGTTCTAAGCTTTTGCACATCACTTCATGTCATTTAAAATTATAGACCAGGCCACTGAACGTAATTTTAATTTGTCCTAATTTTTAAAACTATTTTAGCCCCAAAGGAATTAGGGGAATTCTGAGGAATGCTTCTACCAAAAAGACAGATTTTTTTGTATTGTATTTCAAAGTGTTGGAAATATAGTATTTTTTATTGTATATAGTTTCTTTTTAACCCTATTGAAATACTGTGTGTGTTTATACAGAGATTCACCCTGAGTCCATGTATGAATTTTGAACATTCCTGACCTACCCACAATCAAAACAGCTGAAGCTACATGCCTGGGAAAGTGAGATCATTATTTAAGTCCTAAAAATAGCTTCTGCTATTTGCAGAAATGCAGGACTGTTTCAGAGTTGATCAGGAAGTGGTAGATGGTATCATTCACTTTGGGCTTCAAAAATCTGACTCTCAAAGATTCATAAGTTTAAGAAAGATCTTGAAACATTGGGAAAAAAGTTGGTTGAAAGAGTTGACATTTAGCCTACGAAGATAATTGATAATTACTGTAACAACTTTAAGTTTTATGCTGCTATTAACAAGACTATCCTTGGACAAAACCATTACCTCATTCAGTAAACAATTACTGAATGCCTTCAGAGCAGCAGACCTTTACACTCAACAGAATAGGTGAGCTAGATCTTTAACCTGGTGAGGCCAGCTTTATAGAACAGGAGTAGGACTGATAACAAGACTGCTCTTGCCCCCTGCAAGATGAAATCTTAGCACCTTGCTTTACTCTGTCGTTTATATGTTCCTGAATTCTATTCAGCAGTTTAAGCAAAGTACTTTTTTCAGGCTATAGCCATGATGTTCAAGTCTTGAGGTTGAATTGAATTTCCATTTCAACTGAAAAATCAACAGTAACATTGTTTCCACTCAGAAAAAAACTGATCTCATCTACTAAAATGAACTCTTGCAGTATCCCCCATTTCAGATAACTGCTCAAAGAACCAGCCTTCATTAGGAATAGTAAATGGTCTCCCTTGAATGAAATAAGACTTCTAATTTAGTAATAACAGTCTACATAGTAAGTGGGCTTTGCTTAAGCTAAGATGATTGCCAATAAAAAGCTAAATCATCTACTTCAACAGTGGATTTGACTGAAAAACCAGTCTCTTAAAACCAGTCTCTATGATGAAAGTCATACTCGAAACAAACCATTTCAAAAGTTTTAATGAAACCAACCTAATGGGGGCAGCATCCTTATTCATCTGCTTATGATTATATTGGCATTTGGAGTCCAGGGCCCAAGTTTTATTTGATCAAGGAGCCTTTGACCCAATGAGAGCGGGAATTGATGGTTGCTAGAGAGAGTAGACAGTGCCTAGGTTTGGGCGTCAGGCCGACCTGCATTTTAATCCCATTTTTGTTACATCATGGCTTTATAACCTTAAAGTAAGTTATTTAACCTCCCTTGACCTCTATTCATTTGTAAAATGGTAGTAATACTATTGGTTCATAATGGGAACATAATCTATTAATATATAAAGCAGCATTTTTGTGATCAAGAGCATTATGGGTTTAGAGCTAGACTTGGTTGAGTGAATTCCACCTGTTATTTGACTAGCTTTATGTCCTTGGGCAGGTCACTCTCAAGTGTCATTTTCCTCATCTGTAAAACAGGCACAATACTCTCCAAATTTGTTGTGAAAATTAGAAACACTAAAGCTAAATGGTCTGGCACACAGTAGGTATTCAAATAGTAGTTCTGTATACCAGCTACAGGGTCTGAAGTTTGGCAGTGAGAGAGAAGTTTGAAGGGAAGGCAGGATAAAAGGGCGTGTCTTTAGAGTAGAGATTCAAGCCTGTTTGTAGACAGGAAGAAGACAAACTAGAAGAAAACAATTAGTGAAACAAAATGGATCACATCCAGGAGGTAGGAAGGGATAGAACCTAGATCACATGTTGGAGGATTATCCTTAGAAAAATAAAAATGGATATTTCTCCCTCTGAAAAGAGGGAAGGAGAGGTGATGTGAGTTTAATGGTAGTTGGAGATTAAGTAAAAGACTGAGGTTAGGAGGAGGGTGCATAGTTGTTGGATAGTAAATTATCTCCAACTAGAATTTTATTATATTAAATGGTTGTTATGAGGATTTAATGAGAATATACATAAAAATGCCTGTCAGTTTGCCTGGTATCTAGTAGATGCTGAAATAGTTAATTTAGATTTCCTGAGTAGGTCCAATATACCAGACTTGTTTGTGTCTTTCTTAGGTCTTCCGTTAAGTGTACAATTTCCCTGAAACCCGGTTTTTATCCTTGCTGTCCTTAAAGGCATTGCTCGAGCTAATCCCACTGGAAGAAATGCCCAGTTTTCCCAGTGCTGCTTATCCCATTTCCACTTCCTCTTGAACTTCCAAGTCCCTATATCCTTTTATCCTAGATTTCTATGTGCCTGCTCAAATAGCAGGTGTCATGACTTCTTTTCCATATTTATCCACGTACATTTTATAGCTGTAGTGAATATACAACTTACTTTTTAGTTTAATATATCTTAAATTGTTTTTTCATAGCCACCATTTTTGTCTTGTTTTGAGTGTATTAATCTTTTTTAATCATTCTTTTTAATGACCACAATTACCTTTGACATGGATATGCCATAATTAACCATTTCCCCAGTGCTAGGTATTTAGATACTCATCTTTTCATTAATAAATACAAGTTTTTCCTTTGAATCTAGAGAGAACAGTATACCTTAGAATTATTTTTTTAAAACAGTACTATCCAATAGGATGTTCTGTGATGATAGAAATGCTCTTTGTACTGTCCAATAAGAACAGTAGCCACATGTGGCTATTGAGCACTTACAAATGTGTCTAACATAACTGAGGAACTGAATTTTAAATTTAATGTAAATTTAAATCACCACATGTGGTTAATGATGTGTTGGAAATTATAATTCTAGAAAATTAAATATGGAGATCAAACTCAAAGTACAGTCAGGCTGTCTTGGCTATGATCTTAATTAAGGTGGTCAGGGTGAGGGCTTATGGAATGGTAATAGACCATGCTTGGAAGAGCACTGTGACAAAGACCTAAGAAGCCAAAAACTTCTGATGAGTAGGAAAAAAATTATGTAAACTATTGGACCAAAGGGCAGACTGCAGCTAAAGGAAAGAGTCAATATTTTAGAACCAGGTGTGACTTCTCAGCAGTTGCTTTTCAAACTATTGAGAAAATGCATTCAGTCATGAACTGGATCTTGGGCAGTGCTACTCAGATGAGGACCACAGCATCAGGATCACCTGGGTGCTTATTAGACATGCAGATTATCGCCCCACCTTCAACCTACTGAATCTGAATATCTGGGGCTGGGGCTCAAGAATCTTTTACCAAGCCCTCCAGGTTTTTCTTATATGCGCTACTGTTTAAGAACTACTGCTGTAGAGTGCTGAACACGTGGTGCCTACTATCTAGGAATTTCTGATCAAAGATTTCTAGATTTCTGATCAAAGATTTCTAGACTATAAAAGACTGAATTATTCATTCATCTCCCCGGCATCCGGCACCCGTTCAGGCAACCAAGTCCTCAATAAAGGTTTGCTTTATTGAGTTGACTATACTCCATTATCCAGAAATCGTGCTATTCATCTATATTATTCCAAGGTGAGGGAACGGAAGGTTACAGCCACAAACAATATCTAGAACAAAACTCGAATAATGTAGCTTCGTGGTTTCCTTTGTTTTGACCAAGAACTTTAGATAATGTGTGCTCCCCTGTATGTATGTGTGTGCGAAATGCTGTCATCTCTGATGACCCAAAGGAAAGCAAATTTGAATAAAACTTTCTTGTGGTTGAAAGGAGAATGAAACAGTCAGGCCGGCCGTGGCCTGGTGAGGCCGTAAACCTTACAATTTGATAAGAAAGGAGGAGTAAATGATATAACTCGGGCTGGAGTGCAGTTTAAAAAAGAAAGGGTTTTCCAGCATTCAGGAGTCCGCCCGGCCGCCGCCCTCTTTCTTTCCCCAATATTATGTGAGACGTATCCTAAAAAATTACTTGTTTTATCTGAAGTTCAAATTTAACTAGGCGAGCTGTACTTTTCATTTGTTATATGCTAATTCTGGCAGCCACGGGTGGGCGGCTCCCGGCTCCCGGGGACCCCGACACCTGGAGGAATCGCGCCCCGCCCCGCCCCGCCCCGCCCCGCCCGGGTCGAATTCCAGGCCCGGCCCGGCGCCCGGCGGCCCGGGAATGCGGAAGGGCCGCGGGAACCCGCCGCGCAAGGGGGAGGAGGGCGGGGCCGCAGCCGCGCCGCAGGAGCGGATGCCGCCGCAGAGCGGACGGGCTGAGGAGGACCGCTGAGAGCGGGGCTGTGCTCGGCCCCAGCCCGCTCCTCGGCGCCCACTGCGGGCTCTGTTCCAGCCCGAGCGAGGACACCGGCCGCATCCCCCCGTCCCGAGTTGGATCCCGCCGCGCCTTCCGGTGCGCCTTCCGGCCCGCCTCTTGAGGCAGGAAGTGCCGGGCGCCGCCGCTGTCGCTCCGCAGCGCAGCGCTGTCGCCGGTCGTCTCGCGCAGAGTAGCCCTGGTTCTGGTGTCTGGCGGCGGTGAGTGGCGCTCGCCCCCGCGCGGGACACCCTTGGGCCGCACCTGTTCTCCCCCTGCCTCGCTCCAGGCAGCCCGGGCAGGGAGGG